ACGAATTGAATGCTACTGGAAGCATGTCATGCCTAAATTGGAACATCAACTTTGCAACCTCATAAATAAAAACATCATTTAATTTAAGAAGATTCATGCGCCTGTAAACAGGACTCATACTATGCAGCAAAGGAGTACTTGTCATAATGCGAAGAGCTCGATTTTGTAAAACTGATAAAGCGTGGAGTCTACTTTTATCTGCAGAGCCCTATGCCACAATTCCATACTGAAGGTGAGAATAAAATAGAGAGAAGTAAACAGTTCGCATAATTTTTTTAGGAATAAAATGTTTTAGTCTTGACATTATCCCAACAGCCCTAGACAGTTTTAATTTAAGTAAATTGATGTGGTTATCCCATTTAAGCCTATTATCAATGAGTATCCCAAGATATTTTACAGCGTCGTGTACTTTCAAACTGACATTATTTAGAGACAAATTGAGTCTAGGTGAATACTCATTATTTTTATCATAAGGATTATTTATTAGTAGTACTTGGGTTTTTTCAGGATTTATGGTCAATTTGTTGCATTTCATCCATTGGGAAATATTTTCTAAATTTAGTTTAACTTTTCTGGACAAATCAGTGACACTAGAAGATATGGACGTTGTGCTCGTGTCATCAGCAAAAAGTTTGACAATTGCTGGAGTACTGTTTACCACATTCATTTATGTATACCAGGAACAGGGTCGGGCCAAGAACCGAGCCCTGTGGCACGCCTACATGAACGCGTTCGCGAGGTGAATTATAGGCAGAAAAAGTTACAAATTGCATGCGACCATCCAGGTAATTTGCAAACAATTTACTCACATTTCCACGGACTCCATAATGTTTCAGCTTACTGATAAGTATTTTATGATCGACAGTGTCGAAAGCTTTCTTTAAATCCAGAAATACGCTACATCCCACAAATCCCTTATCTATGATTTCATAATATTTGCTAATAATATCTAGAATTGCATGCTTTGTTGAATGATGATTTCGAAAACCGAATTGATCACATTTTATAATTGAATGTTTATGTAAAAATTTTGTAAGCGAACGAGCATCAGTTTCTCAAAAACAATTGAAAGGCATGAAAGAATGGAAATGGGTCGATAATTTGACACGTCATCATTCTTTCCTGCCTTGTGTACTGGGACAACCCTGGCTACTTTGAGATGATCTGGAAATAGGCCTAAACACACAGATGAATTGAATAGTTTACAAAGTATGGGACTAATAGCACCACAGAGGAGTTTTAAAAGATAAGCTGGTATATGATCATACCCAGTTGCTTTATTTGTTTTCAAGGAATTAATAATATTTTCAATTTCAGTGACAGAGGAATCCTCCATAAACATGGACAACTTGTTTGGCGAACCCATGAATTGGAGGTGTTCGTTGTCATTCACAGTATGGAAAGCAGAAGACAAATTTAGTCCAATTTGAGAAAAATAACTGTTAAACATATGAGAAATTTTTTCACTGTCACGCCACAATCTCTCCAGAGAGTTGATTGACTAGCTTTTGCGGAATGCCTTTATTTGATTTTGAGTTTATTAAAGAATTGATAGTACTCCAAGTCTTTTTTGGGTCGTTTTTATTATTTTCGAAACAGTTAGCGAAATATGTCTCTTTAGCTTTTTGCTTCAGATGACACAATTTGTTGGCATATGTTTTGTAGTAAAGTTTTTGTTCCATGGAGCCCTTAATAAAATGAGATTTATGTAACTTATCCCTGATTTTAGTTGAGCGCAGAATGCCATTTGTTATCCAAGGTTTCCTTTCTAGTCGGCGTTCTTTTCTAGTTAACTTTCTTAGTGGTGCATGTTTATCACATACATTTAAAATTTTGGTAATAAAATTGCTAAAGTATGAATTGAAATTTTCAGCATTAATACTAATAGGGTCATGCGAGTAAAAAAGTTCATGGGCATCTTGAATGAATTTAGCTGAATCAAATTTTCTCATGTCACGTTTAAGCTTATGTTGAACATTGGGGGATGCATGATGCAGTTGAAATTGACAAAGAATGGGATAATGATCAGTCATGCAGTGTTGCCATACAATACATGAGACTGGTTTCTCGGATATATTGGAATAAATATGGTCAATTAGAGTAGTACTAGAGCTGGTCACTCTAGTTGGGTGAGTTATTAATGGAATTGTGGCATGGGACCTCAGCATGTCAAGAAAACCTATTGCAAATGATGTGGAGCTTAATAAATTGATATTAATGTCACCCAATATAATATATTTCTTTTTATCAAGTGCCAGAAGGTGTAGGGTGTTACTAAGAGCGCACATAAAATCAGATTCACTGGATCCAGGGTGTCGATATACAACACCAAGAATAATAGAAGAAGACTTTCCACAATGAATGGGTATTTCAACCCAAAGTTCTTCACAAGAGTTGACATTCAGAATATATTTGTGTACCAATAACGGATTTAAATAAGACTTTACATATAGCCCAACCCCACCAGCATGAGTTTTTGTTGGCGTATGGAGGAATACATAACTTTCAATATCTATATTAACTAAAGGGTCTGTTCTGAGTTTTGTTTCGGATAGCGCTATTACAGTAGGGGATGAATTTAGATCATGTATAATGTTTGACAACTCGTCAATATGCTTTTGTATAGACCGAATATTGAAATGAGCCAAAGTGAACTTATTTTTAGATAAACTGGTACAACCTAGGATGTTACATACACTGTCAGCAGTCTCAAGTGACAGGCATGGACTAACATTTTCAAAATTGAATTCAGAAGTGTCAAGGGGTTCTAGTTTTCTGTCTATTAAATAAGGGCAAGTATGAAATGGAAAAAGAGATTTTAAACAATTTTGGCAAAGACTATTATTACTTGTAGAATGAATATTAGAACAATTAAAGCAAAAAGGCTGAGCAGCCATTTTACTTATCTAATATAGGAATTCAGATTTGTAAATAGTCAATCTAGGATAGTTTTTCTAAATCCGAGAGCTTGGTTATGGGAATCCTAGGACTTTCTTTGGATTTTTTCATGTATATGTTGCCATTGGTAGTCCAAAGCCTCTCATACATCTTAGATTTCTTGACTAATCGTGAATTGTATAAAAGATTATTACGAAAATTTGTGAGGTTCTCATTAATGTAAAGAGTGGACAAACCTGCAATCCCAAAGTCTTTGATTCTAGAAGCTTCAAACTTTTTAGCAATGAATTGGTTCCTTTTATTCCTATTCGTAAAACGAACTATGATCGGTCCGATTTTGGTGCTGTCTCTTCTAGGAAGACGGTGAGATACTGAGATATCCAGTCTTTCAACCTCGATTCCTAGTGCTTTGCCAATTTTAACAATGATATTATCAGTATTTTCCCCTTCCCTAAATGGAATCCCATGAAATTCAAGGTTTTCCCGCCTCACGTACTGAGCCAGGTCTTCAAAATCGTGGTCGAAACGTTGCTGTAGGGTGGTATACATTTTTAACAGTTTATCATTTTTAGCAGACAGATCCCTAATCACCTGGTCCAGTTTTGAAATATAGCCCGTTTAAATATGCCCGTGTCGGTCACGAATTCATCACTTTGCACAACAGAAAAATATATATTTGTTGGTATATTATTTGTTGTAAAAGTCGACTCTTTTAACAGGTGGCGTAATCGCGGCGATGAATATGTATTTTTAATTTACTGCTAAACTTTATATGTATATTCATTGTATGAAATGAATTATTCTCTACACTTAACAGGATTTTATATATATAATTATTTGGGATTTTTCTAACGGCGATAACGAGTTGGCAAGATTGCAAAAATACATATTAAAATTAAATACATCAGGCAGTTTATCTCGTAATTTTAGGTCACAGATCGCCGTGGACCGAATAGTAATGTTTTTTTTTTTGACATAAGAAGAAGCAACCGCGAGTTATGTTGGACACATTAAATTAATATATAAAGATATTTTAGAATCTTGTAGTTGTCATGGATTGAATATTTTACGTAACAGAATGATGATTATACGCTGAAAAGACGACTCTTTTAACGAGCGCGGAATCGCGGTGGGTGTTACAGGCGGCAATGGGAATTTCCGATTCCGAAAATCCTGGCTGCGCGCTGGCAGTGGTGGTCATCTATTCTCTACTAATTTATTTCTAACTCCAAACACAACAATATGTTACACATAATAACAATATGATTCACATAAATTTATATACAAATATACTGGTAGGTAGTATAGGTTGGCGCGGCGGTCTGGCTCAACGGGCTAAGCGTTAGGAATACGCTCGCCACCGCACCTCTAATTACTCTGCGTGGGTTCGCAGGTTCGAATCCCATGCAGAGATGGTTATGTGCGAGAGGATTGCTGGACTCCTCCCCGTCGTTGGGTGGTTCACGTAACCGCTGGTCGGTTACGGCTTCCTCCACCACCAAGTCCATGCTTCCGGAAACAAACAATATAACTAATCCCATACCCGACTTGGAATGGTAACCGGACGAGAGGCCGTGGTTCGCCATATGGATAGGCCGTCTTATCGGCTTTCCTCTCCCCCCGGGATAAATATGCAAATCCTATCCTATCCTAGTAGAATACTCTAGGCTTAAATATTGGAATTTTTAAAGGCATATTGGATTTTCGATTGTTATTATTATTACCTGTATTGCCAATAAATTTTATTACTCTCAGAAAATATACAAAATTATCTCAATACAAGTAGTATTTTTGTCAATAGACTAGACTATTATCGTAATATCATGGTACCAATGACAGAAAGCGTCAGACAACTCCTTGGCTATCTTTTCATATGGTCATTTGTACAAAGTGAATAATTTTAATAAACTGACTGTGTCACAAGTTGCTATTATTTTTTATTGATAGCTATAAGTATAAACTATCAATTACTTTGTGTATATATACTGTTGGTTTGTGGCTTCATTCTGATATGCTTTCCTAATTTACTGGGTTTTAATCAACTAAAACAAAAATGTGTTATTTTTGCCTTTAGAATGTATTCGGAATTCCAGATTCGAAAACATTATTTTAGAATGTATTCGGAATAGTTTAGTATTCGGAAATGGCCATCCCTGCTTCCTGGTTTCATTGCTTAATAGAGTTTTTTCACGTTGTTATGAATTGGTTAAACACAAGTGCACAATGGGATTAAAAATCTACCAATCAAAGTGACACTCTAATCACCACTGGAATGATACACAAGCGGGCCAGGAGTGCTAAAAGCATCTAAAATTGGGCCACACTGATCTGAAGTCTCAATACTTTGTTTTGCAACAATGCTTTTTGCAAAATCGTTATATTTTGTGCCATGTTTCTAAGACAAAATAATCACATTTCTTAAAAATAAGCACAAATCCTAGAAATAAGCACAACATGGTAACCCTGCCTATATGCACGATTCTTTTATCAACCTTGTGAAAGGCCAAAAGGAGTTTTGAATTCAATGAATCTACCCATCATAAAAAGCACATAAATTTCCATTTTCTTCTGTATTCATTCAGTTTTTTGTTTAGTTGAGCAATGGATTCCTCTCGGTTCCTGATTTCTTTCTTTAGTTTTATACTGTTTTCTCGTTCGTTATGAATTTCCTTTTCCAACTGCCCGATTGATTCCTGGACTTTAGACATGTCCATGCTCATTATTTTCTGTTCAAGCTTGAGTTCCATCTAAATATCAATTTTGTTACAAATCCATCAAAACAGCTAGTTTTTATTCAGTGGGTATGGTAACCTAGTGACTAAGGCAATCTAGGACTTAACTATGTTCCGTATGTTGGCATTGCAGAGTACAAAGTCCATGCTTGCCATAGATTAGCAGTGGTTCCTGTTATAAGGCTTTGTTTGGAGGCGAAGAGCAAATAAAACACCATTCAATCACAATTGTATTCTCTAAATGGATATCCCAGCATGCCACATATTTGTGTTCAATTTAATAAGTATACTTTGAAATTTTCCTGATATTGACGACACTTACCTCAATCTTGTTCAACTCGTCTATGCGTTCCCTGCATCTTTCAAGTCTCAACTCCGTCAAATTAATGTTTTCTCTCTCCCTTTTTAGTTCATTTGTCAGATCGTCATTTTGCTTTTCGACTTGCTCCACTCTCAATTTTTTGATATTCAATTCATTCTCAAGAGCATGAAACTTTTCCACCATTGGATCAGCAATCACCCCTGCACCTTTCAAGGCACCTTCTGTAGCCTCCTTCGCCTTCATTGCAGTCTTTAGTACGGTTTCCATTGATTTGTTAATCAGGCCACAAATATTCGCCACTTTGGGATAAAAGCAAGTACCTATTCCATCTAGTCGACTGGTTAATAACTGTAGTATTACTTGCTGACACTGTCTATCCTATTATGTATATTGTCATACTAAGTAAATACACCAATAACTGTTCAGCAAACAAAGTGAGACATGATGTTGTCGAGCAAACAGCTGTACGTTTAAAAAACAGATGAGTTCAGATTGTCCTGGGCAATTTACTGGTTTTGTGTTATGGCACAAATAAAGACTGTTTTATCCATAAATAATTAGGTTTGAACAGACCGTTCAAGGTATGATTGGAAACGTTCCTGACTATTCGATAGACCTAATGTACGAAGTATGTGTAATTTTGTTGTGTATTGACTTTTTTATATATTTTATGTTTCCACTAGCTGGCGTTAAGTGTTTACTATTGCATCATTCTTATAGAACCTCATGTGACATTAGTGATTCGGTACGCTGTTATAAGTTTGCTTGCTAAGCGTTGTTATTGTTTGTTTTCATTAAACTGATGTTTCTATCAAGTTGGATTCTTGTATAGTTCATTAGTCAGTGTCAGGGACACAACAGATTGGCGACGAGGATTGGTGATTTTTAAAGAGTCGTTGAAAATACGACATAGTGAAAACAGGCAAATTACGGTAGTAGACTACTGGTGACGTCATATTTTGGAAGAGAAGAAAAGTGTGATAAATGGCTGAATTACATTTACCACCACCGCAATGTTTCTTGCAAAGTCCAGGTGAACCACAAGTACCTTGGAAACGTTGGTACAATAGCTTTGAAACGTATATGAAAGCCACTGGACTTGATCAGGAAAATGTATCTGCTGATAAAAAACGTGCAATTCTACTGCATTGTTTAGGCATTGAAGGCCAAAGAATATTTGCTTCGTTATCAGACACAGATACTTATGAACAAGCAGTTGCTGCTCTAGAAAAGCAGTTTGGCAAAAAAGACAGTGTAAAAATGCAAAGACATCTATTTTGGAATAGAAAACAGCATGATGGTGAGTCAATAATAGAATATGTCGCTGCACTCAGAGAAATAGTGTCAGAGTGTAATTTTGCAGATATGTCAGATGATATGATCTGTGGTCAAATAATTGAACACACCATCTCACCAAGAATTAGAGAAAGGTTGCTCATGGAACCTGATACACTGACTTTGGATCAAGCAGTAAAACTGGCTTGTCAAATTGAAACTGCTCATGAAGAATCACATCGTATTCAGAAAGAAACCAATTTCAATGGAAAACCAAAGTTCAAAAAAGAAGAAAATCCTATTGTTCAAGGAATTCAAAGGCAAAGATATCACAATCAATGGAAAAATCAAAAAGCAAATTCATCATATGCTAAACAACATTGTACTTGTTGTGGATCAAATTCTCATGCTTCATATAGTAGGAATTGTCCTGCTAAAAATCGTATTTGTCATGCATGTGGCAAAAGAAATCATTTCATGAAAATGTGTAGGTCTTTGAAACAAAAGACTACAAGACAAGTGTTGCCATCACAAAAACAAAGTGATGATGTGCAAAATGTATTTTCTGTCAAAAATAACAGTGATTCTGTTAATGGTATTTTTAAACATTGTTCTATAATGATTGATGGTATAGAAACCAAGCTTTTAATTGATTTGGGTGCCAAAATCTCAATAATGAATGAAACCATGTATAGAAAATTGTTTTCAAAGTATAAGCTTAAGCCCACAACCCAGAAATTGTGTGGATATGGAGGGTCATCTATTGAAAGTATTGGGGTTATTGATTTACCTAATATTCAGTATGGAAATGAGACCATTGATGTATTTTCATTTTTTGTAACTAAAAATGGAGTTAGTCTTATGGGAGTTGATTTGTTTGATCGTTTGAATTTTAAAGTTACATGTAATGGTGCTACTGTGAATTCTATTGATTTTCGTGCTAAGTATGCTAAAGTATTTACTGGCTTAGGTAAAGTGTCAAAATTCCAACATGATCCCATGGTTGATCATACAGTCAAGCCAATATCTCAAAAACTGAGAAGGTTACCACTTTCAGTTCGTGCTAGTGTGTCTGCAGAATTGAAAAGGCTTGAAGATAATGATGTTATTGAAAAAATTGAAACTTCACCATGGATTTCTAATATTGTCATTGTTCCTAAGAAAAATAATGAGATTCGTCTATGTGTGGATCTCAGACAAGTAAATATGGCAATAATACCTGATAAATATCCATTACCTACAATGACAGAGCTCACATCAAAATTTCATAGCTCTACAGTGTTTTCGAAACTTGACTTGCGTCGAAGTTATGAACAAGTGCCATTAGCTAAAGATAAAAGGTATCTTACTGCTTTTATAACACATGATTCTATATATCAGTATAAAAGAATACCTTATGGTTTATGTTCAGCGCCCTCTTGTTTTCAAAAAATTCTGTCCATGATTTTGAAAGATTGTGAAAACACAGTCAATAATATTGATGATGTTATTGTGCATGGTATAAATCAAGCAGACCATGATGAAAAGCTTGATAAAGTTCTCAGAAAACTTGCTGAGTATAATTTAACATTGAATGTGGATAAGTGTCAATTTTCTAAAAATTGTATTAATTTTATTGGTTACAAAATTTCTGGTTCTGGTGTATTACCACTTGAGTCAAATGTTGAATCTATTTTGAATATTCCCATGCCCAAAAATAAGAAAGAGTTACAATCTTTTCTTGCAACTACTAACTTTTATTTGAAATTTGTGCAAAATTATGCAAATGTTGCTGAACCATTGAGGAAACTTTTAAGAAAAGATATTCCTTGGGAATGGACTGACTTACAGTCAAATGCTGTCAATAAGCTAAAAGAAAGCATAGCATCACCACCTATACTTGCACATTTCAATCCAAATGCTCAAACTATTGTAACTACAGATGCTTCTGGTTATGCTGTTGGTGCTGTATTGTCACAAATTGACAGACAAGGTAATGAAAAACCTGTTGCATTTGCATCCAAAACTTTGAGTAACACAGAGAGAAAATACTCAACTTGTGAAAGAGAAGCACTTGCATCAATTTATGCATGTGAACACTGGCATATTTATTTGTATGGAAGAAAATTTATACTTCGTACTGATCATGAAGCTTTGAAATCATTGTTATCTACAAGTGGATCTGGTCACAGACCATTGAGAATCTACCGATGGACCGATAGATTACTCCAGTACAATTTCAAAGTAGAACATGTAAGTGGATCAAAAAATGAAGTAGCTGATATGCTATGTAGACTTGTGCCAGATGATGTAAAGGAATCTGAAAATAAAGATGATTCAGATATTTTTGAAATTAACCTAGATGGTTTGGTTACCAAAGAAGACCTGGAAGAAGAGTCTAAAATTGACCCAGTGTTTCAAGAAGTTGTAAAATGTTTACAAAATGGGTGGACTTTTCCAATTTCACCAGATGTTGCTGTATTTTATAAATTGAGACATGAATTAAGTGTCTGGAATGATGTTTGCCTTGCAAGAGGATCTCGTGCTATAATTCCAAGTCAACTGAGAAAGCGAGTCCTAGAAATGGCACACAGTGGACATCCTGGTATGGTCAGGATGAAGCAAAGGTGCAGAGAGAATGTATGGTGGCCGAGATTGAATGCACAAATCGAAGATTTTGTTCGTAATTGTCAACCTTGTGCAATGAGTGGGAAATCAATCAAACCTGCCGAACCACCACTTCAATCAATACCATGGCCTAGTGAGCCTTGGAAAGATATTTCAATTGATGTATTTGGAGAAATGCAAATTGCACCTGTGAAAGATAGATTTGCTGTTGTTATAAATGATCTACATTCCAAATGGCCTGAAGTTGCTTTGACATCTAATGTAACATCTACATATCTAATAAACATATTAGAAGGATTATTTGCAAGATGGGGAATTCCTGAATCTATAACCTCTGATAATGGTTCTGTTTTTGTATCCTATGAGTTTAAACATTTTCTTGCAAAACATGGGATAAAACAGAAATTATGTGCTTTGTACAATCCTACTTCAAACTCTATCACAGAGAGATTTAACAGAGTTCTGAAGGAAGGACTAAAAACTCATTTGAGAGAAGGGAAGACAGTTGGTAAAGCTATTCAAATAATTCTACAAAACTACAGAGCTACTCCTCATGCTTTAACAGGAAAATCTCCAGCAGAACTGATGACTGGAAGGAAAATGAGATTGTCATTAGAATGTCTCAAACCTTCGAATACTGAAACAAATATTGACATTCCGAAAATGCAAAAAGAAATTGCAATTCGTCAACAAAAGTCAAAATTGTACACTGATAATAAAAGACATGCAAAAGTACCTATATTTAAAGTCGGAGATTGGGTTCGAATAAAAAGACCAATTCGAGGTCACAAGTTCAAATCAAGTTTGTCGAATCCTCACAAAATTACAAGGAAAGTTGGACCTGCAACTTATAAATTAGAAGATGGTTCAATGTGGAATGCAAGAAGACTTGTACGTTCCTATCAACATAGTTTTCAAAACGAAAATGATTTTCATGTGGAAACTTTTGGATTTAATAATGAAGATATTCCTAATTTGAGACAAAGTCCAAGAAATGCACGACGAAATCCTTCTAGAAACCGAAGACTTCCATCGTATCTACAAGACTATGAGTTAGGTTGAAAAAAATAAATTTTTCTTTTCAGGAAGGAGGGAAGATGTTGTGTATTGACTTTTTTATATATTTTATGTTTCCACTAGCTGGCGTTAAGTGTTTACTATTGCATCATTCCTATAGAACCTCATGTGACATTAGTGATTCGGTACGCTGTTATAAGTTTGCTTGCTAAGCGTTGTTATTGTTTGTTTTCATTAAACTGATGTTTCTATCAAGTTGGATTCTTGTATAGTTCATTAGTCAGTGTCAGGGACACAACAAATTTATTCTGAGCCCCGCTATGGCACAAAACTTGTCAACACATAAAACAATAACTGGACGGAAATTGCCAAAACACCATACACACGACATAAGAGCAACATGCTCCATACTTTTGGTTCGTGGACTTGTTAGGCCAGATTGCTTCAGATTTTCAGCTAGGCAGAAAAAAATATAACACTCCATTCAGTTAGTTCAAAAATATTCAGTACACGCGCAAACAATATGAACTTGCGTGTAGATCGGACAAATTTAATAACAAAGGGAAAACTTTGGGAGTCGGATGTATTTACTTTGAAAGGGGATGTTTTAACTATGTGCATAATTTATTTCTCTAATATACCTACAACTAAATATTAAAAAATGAACTATGGTTTACGGAGAAAGTATGACATTCGCCATTCGGGTGTCAGACTTATTCAAGAAGATGATGAAAAA